CTAGCAACATTGGAAGCCTTCTCCCTCGACTGTCCACCAAACATGCAGTACCATAGCTCAATCTTAGCACCTATTCTATCCCTTTTCCTGCAATGCATCCTAAAACGGCAAATATGTCATGCACAGATCCAAAGGCGCTGTCCAAGACCAATCTAATAGCGAGCAATGGCGTCCACCACCTCTGTCTAGCAAGGACCACCACCAGCTCCCATCTCGAAAACCCATCATGCCTCGCTTATGTAGGGACTTTGTTTGGCCGCTTTGCCATGGCCTGCATCCCACCCAATCCAGGCTCCTCTCAGCCGTCTTTCTGGAAAATGATGGGCAGAGCACTCCTCTCTCTGCTCACTTGAAAGACGTCAACGGCGCATGTTGGACATCAAATGTCTTGACCATTCTCATCCCGTCTGCATCACCGTTGCTTGCTATGGGATCTTGTTTCACGGCTTCAACGTCGGCCCTTGCGCCACTGTTGAGCAGCCACATGTCCCCCATCTCCATGTAGTTTCGACCCTTGTAGTTGGGGCGCTTCTCGCGCCCTGTCCTGGGCTGATTCGGGTCCTGCTTCCTGTTTGCCATGTCGGAACGACTGCCGGAACTACGGCCGCCTCCCCACGACGATTGGAGGGCTTTCAAAACCCGCGTCTCCAAGACGTGGACGCGCATGAATCTGGCAAAGGCCGGGGCCGAGCATATTATGAGGGAAGCCTCCATCTCTGCGAGGTTAACACAAAGAATCAGTCTCACCTTGTTTGTTCCCCTGCGGGCCTGCGGGGGGTTTGGTCGCAGCACGTACTTGCAGAGCAACAAGACCCCGGCGTCGTACATCAGGTCCGGGTTTTCATCTTGGATGGATTTGACTCTGTACACGAGGGATGTGGCGCTCGCCACGAGAGCCCTGGAGAGACAGGTCAGCCGGACGTAGACAGCACGGTGGCTTATTGTGACTCCTCACGAGAGAGCGACCAGGAATACCGCTGCTACTTGGATCTTTTCCCGCCGGCATAGATTGAGCGGGTAGATGGTGGGCAAGGGCAGGATGAGGATGTACACGTCGAGCAGGGTACTTGCTGCGCCTTGGCCGACGGCCCAGTATAGAGGAAACAGGGTGCTTCCGAGGGCCTCAGCAATGAGCTGGTCCCACGTCTTGGCTAGGTAAAGAGCGGCAAAGTACGAGTTGACGGCCAGGCTTGATGTGTATATTACAAAGGTACAAGCTATTCCTGCCCATATGGCAATCTTCATCGCCTTGGAGACAGAGAAGAGTTGAAGGAGGAGCAGCTGAAATTCAGCAGGCTCTCCCACACATAGTATAACTTTTTTTCGTTCAGGTTCATGTTAGTAACAACTTTGGGCTGCTGCGACCGTCACACCACCTTTTGGTACTCCTCATTGACCCAGCACAGAGGCACGTCCCACGAGTGTCGGAAAAGCCTGGAAACTATACATATATATAAACTCGATTAGTCCCATGGCGCTTTTGCAGCAGATGGGGTGACTCGTTGCGGCGGGACATGACAAGGCCCAAGACATGCCGGGAATGAACTACCATGAAAGCTTTGGATGGAAAAAAAGAAGGGGGGGGCCAAAAAGCTACAGGCAATCATTGTGACGGCATCCGCGATGTTTGACAGGATAGCCAGAGTCACAAACACTAGGTGACTGTCATCAGCATCGTCGCAAGACGTGTGCGTGTCTTTATAGGAATGGCCGCACAGTCGCTCCAAGTAAACTTTGGCGCATTCACGTACAGCCTGCCGAGCCCGAAGACGGTGGCGACGGTTGTTAGAATCAGGGTGAAGTTGTCGAGGTGTTCCGCCTGGGATATACATCTGGTAGAGGTATCGCTTTGCTCTAGCATCACTTTTAAGTCGCCCGATGCTACATTGTATCGAAAATCCTCGTCACCAATAGTAGGTGCAGTAGATCCCGTGGGGCCTGCCCCCCCAAACGCCCGGATGGTCGTACAAGAGCCCGTATTTTTAGATGCCGAGTTTTATCCCTTGCATTCGGGGTGACCTGACGATGTGTCATCGACAGGTATCCATGTCCCAACCCTGCGAGACGGATTGCTATTTTCAAGGCGGTGTAGATATCATGGTCCCCGTTACCATCACACATGTAAGCGGACGCGGACGCAGGCGACCCGATGTGAAAAGGGTTGTGCTTTAATTAGCATTGGTGTATAGTGCTTGCGGCTCTAGATAATGTGTCGATTTCTCCTGGTGTCTTGCTCATACCAACCGCCCTGTTCCATCCCATGAACAGACCATCACCCATCGTCATGCGTGCACTGGTTAGTTGACCGGACGGAGGGAACAGCTTACACAACATCATGGCGCAGCCTGGCCATCGCCCCGGAGATGACTGCGGCCAGGACGGCTTCTACACCTCATGTATCCGGTTGATCGGAGGGTGCTGATTGTCTTCACTCGGGCTTATGCAGCACTCCAACATGCCTGTAAGCAAATACTGCGCCAAGACATGGATCGATTCTAGGCACTAAGGCAAGGGTCGTCTACCTCGATGGTGGCGATTCAAACCAACAAGTATCCGCGATAATTGTTGAGTCAACAACAGCAATTTTGCACAGTGGAAAAAGACTATATTTGGGAGGCTCTTTGGCGCCTCAAATCATAGCTTTGTATTGATGATGATGGCGGAGGCCTCTGGAAGGCCCTTGGGACCCCTGACGATGACCCTCAATATCCAACTGTCCTTCACCAAGGGTTAGCTCCTGCCAAGTTGGGAAGAACCATTTGACCATTTTGCGCTCAGGTTTGGCCATGTTTGCGGCATTCCGGCACCTTCTGGGACTAATCAAGAATGGAGGCATACTTTTTGATATATTCAGCGACAAGAGTCAGGTGGACTACAAAGTACTGAGGGAAGGAGTACCCATTGGCTATGAAGTCAGCCAGGAAAATACAAACATTGTCGATATTCACTTTAAACAAGCTCCTGCATTGGGACAATCGTCCTTGGTATAAAGCTCCTTCTAAGATCTCAATTCTATTTATATGTACTGAAAGCCTTCTGCACTTAGTCTCATCATCATCTTGCAGCAGGATGGACACATGCATATAATTGACATTGTCGCAAAAAAATACCAAAAACTCCCAAGACTGGAATGTATCAAAATAATTCTAAGAATTATATACTACGGTAAGTAAAATAAGCAATTAAAAATATTCGATAATAAATACTGCAGAATTCAGATAAACAGTTCTCTATACACGGCAGGTAATTTCTATTTATACATATTCAACTAGGCGCTATATCGATTATATACCGGATATGAGCGCCTCCACTTTGCTATTTCACAGGCAGGGTGTGATATTAGGAATCGTGTGTTTCTAATCTCGGTAGACCCGTGGTATTTACACATGCATAACTTGCGCGACTACAATACCAAGACTAAAGATTATCACACGTTACGACTGACTTGAACCAACTCTCCTTGTAATCAACACTCATTTAAACTACAACATCATCAACAGGTATGTGATTTCCTCCTCGGTGTACGTCGGGATCGGACAAGAAGGGCCCGAGCGGTGCCGACGGTCGCCGGGTTTGGTGGATGAAGCTGTGACACTTGACATTGACGAATGAATTTGCAGCTCACCTGGTGGCACAGTCAAATTCAAGACGAAGGATTCTTTCAAGGGTTTCTCAAACGAGCTGCCAGAATCGGCCTAATGGCGACCATACGACAGAAATTAGACTTTTATGCATTGGGCATTTCTCTGCTCTTGGCAGCCGGGGTTCAGACAACAAAGCTGTGATATAAAATGCCGATCCCCCTTCGGTTCAACACACGGGCAAAATACATTTGTTCTTCAAATCACGAGACAATGAAGGCCCTCGTACTCGCTTTGACATTATCTCTCTACGCCGCAGCCGGGGCCAAACGGCAGCCGATTCCGACCAGAGGCGTGCCCAACGGCCAGTACGGTGGAGATGAGGTTGCATTCGCCAACGAGGCCTTTGAGCAATTCATCTTGGCGCAAATGGATGAATGGCACGTCCCGGGGCTTTCGATGGCCGTCATAGAAGGCAACAAGACGTGGGCCAAGGTTGTCGCGGCCATGTACCACTCTGCTTCGGTCCGGTGCTAACATGGACGACAGGGCTTCGGATACGCAACATTGGGTTCGGAGCCCGCCACGCCGTCGACGTTATTCTACTGCGGTAGCATGACCAAGTCCGTGACGGCTGCCGCCTTGTCCATCTTGATCGACGAGCACAAAAACGGCAGCAATATCCAGTGGACGACGCCCATCTCCAGCATACTCAAGGACGACTTTGTGCTATCCGACGCTTGGGCTACGGACCACATGACGCTCGAGGATGCGCTATGTCACCGCACTGGCTATCCGCGACACGACTTCTCCGGCCCGTTCAACTCGTCCGTGGACATGGTTCGCAGATTCCGCCATCTCCCCATGTCCCAGGAGCCCCGTGTGAAATGGCAGTACAGCAACATGATGTACGGCACGCTGGGATACGTGGTCGAGCGCACAAGTGCAACCAGACTGGCCGACTTCTTCCGCAACCGGCTCTGGCGCCCCATGGGCATGTTGAACACGTTCCTGCACCCGGACGATGCGCTCGCCAGCGGCGGCGGCGGCCAGCTCGCCCACGCGTACTACTACAACAACGATACGCAGCAGTTTGGCGAGCTGCCGTGGAATGATGAGGGGAGCGTCGCGGGCGCCGGCATGGCCATTTCGTCTGTGCTCGACTGGTCGCGGTATCTGCGACACATGATTTCCGAGTCGGGGCCCATTTCCGCGGCTGGCCACGCTGCTCTCAAGGCGCCGCACATGGTGTCGGAGCAGGACAGGCGTATATACTCGGGGACCGAGTTTTACGGGCTCGGCTGGGGGTCCAACATGATGCAGAACGAGGCCGTGTGGTACCATTCGGGGCGAGTCAGCGGCATGCTGTCGTACATGGCGTTTGTGCCGGCTCGGAAGTTTGGGTTTGTTATCATGCTCAACACGGAGAGTGTGGCGGCGCTCGATTCCATCTTTTCCACCACGCTGTTCAACTATTTCGAGGTGGCGTCGTCGAACCGTTATGACATTCGACAAGGGTAAGCGAGCACGCGCTTCTTTGGTACTGGGGATATATTGTTAACCAGGCGGCAGGTGGTACGACTTGTTGAGAGACTTGGATGACGGGCTGCGCAACTGCTCGGCCCGTCTGTATCCTGGAGTAGGCGGCGCGGCATTGCCGTCGGGCATGGCATTGGACGACTTGGTAGGGAGCTACTACAACGACGGGTATGGATATGCCAACGTGACGCTGAGGTGTGACGATTGGGAGGCAGCACACGGGTCGCCCAGCGTGTTGTCGCTCACGTCGGATGGGTGCCGGATAGTTGTTCCCCGGGCCGAGCTGTTTGGCAAAAACGTTTCGTTTCAGTTGCAACACGTGGCCGGGGATAAGTGGCTGGCTTGGTACTTTGTCGACGACTACAAAACGGTGACGAGGCCGGCCGGTTGCTACCGAGCCCAGGTCGTTGTTGGGCCCGATGGAAAGCCCGACATGCTTGGCATGGACATGAGGATGGAGGGGGACGATTTGCCCCTGACCTGGTTTAAAAGGGTTTAACAAAGGCGCCTTTGCCTTTGTCCTTTGTCCTTTGTCCGAACCGGTGCGGTCCCGGGGCATGTGTATAAATAGGCCCGCTGGGTGCATCAAATACATGACACACAAAGCCTTGTTTGAGCTACAAAGCAGAAGATTGTGGCGCTCCTGGTAAAACACAAGGCTGTGCGCATCGTCGGGCCTGATGCCCGGCATTTCCAATGTCAAGATGCTCTATGCGACAAAACCAAGACGCGTCCATGGTGCACCAACCGGGCACGGGTGCTGACTAATAGAATTCATCCAGCGCGCTCACAAGACGCTCCAAACATTCTCACAGAATGGAAGTGAAGTCGCCGTCCTCTTAAACAGGCCAATCCCCATCCTGGGGCCGATCTGAACTTGTCATGTCCTTGTTCTTCCAATTAGTCACCGCATCCTCTCTCGGCTTCACCATGTACCCGGATTGGCCCGAATCTGCCTCCGACTTGGTGCCACTGCCATGCTGCAATGGCCCCAAGTTGAACGCATTCGACTTCCAGGGTCCGCAAAAGATTGAATTTCTCGAGTACCTAGGCGAAGGCTCGCATGCACACGTCTTCAAGATTAAAATCCTGGGGCAAATATACGCATTGAAACTTGTAAGAAGGGATAACACACATCAACATGCATAATGAGCTAGTAGCTGAGTTGCCTATTCAGTTTAGGTTTGCCTATGATGAGGATTATCTGGGCCCAGATTACGATCACGATGTTGATAATTACGACACAGTGAGCGCCTTTTACCAATACTCGGAGCCCTTCAGCAGCGAGTGCCGTGCTTTTGGTCGCCTCCAAGAGGCCGGCCATGAGCAACTGGCCGTCCAGTGCTTTGGGTACCTGCTTCTGGACGAGGAGCACGAGCAAGCCATGATGAAGCAGTTCAGCCACCTCGAGCTCAAGTGGAACGGGAGCATGGATTATCCCGACCGAGAGGACATGCGCTCACGATTCCTGGGCAAAAGCGGCAGAGCGCCGCCTATCCGCGGCATCGTCAAAGAATTCGGCCACCTTCCCCGGGAATTGCGGACGAGGGATGCGCGCAAGATACTCCGCGATATTATTCAACTGCAGCAGCTCGGCATAGTCTGCATTGACGTGGCAGACCGGCAGCTCATCAACAACAAAATCTGTGACTTTAGTACGGCTGTTACCACGCCTCATTTTGCCACGACCCCCGAGTTGAACCCGCATCTTACGCCGGAATGGATAGCGGCTATAGAGTTTGAAACGTTCCAGTTTAGTATGAGCGACTACTGGAACTTTGACGAGATGGTGCATATCTGGAACGAGGAGCACAAGGACCAAAAGAATAAAATCGCAGTCTACGCATTCCCCGGGGGCCGAGGCTGCCGAACCAAGTATGACCTGAGACGCACCCCATTCCGGCAGCGTGTCTTTTCCTATGTCGACCCAAGGCTGTATGACTGGAGGAGCCCGCCTGCTGGTCCCGGGAATAAAGCGGCTCGAGCATTGGCAGGACAAAAGAAATCCGGTCAAAGGAAAAGGGAAACGGGGAGCAGAGGAGCTGGTTCCAGGACCCGCCTCCGGCTCGATACCAGACCGCCCAAGTGGTACTTGAATTGTGATGATAAAGTGGCGGCTGAACTAAAAGCTTTAAGAGGTTGTAGCACCTCGCTCAGGTGGTGCGTCAAGGACGGTCTTATATTTCCGCGGAAAAAATATTAAGTTTAGAATTAAGTTGTATATTTTTTTTTATATATAAAGCTTTTATTAATATTAATAGCTTTAATAATATTATAATATTTTTATATTTTTACTTTTATAAATTTTATTAAGAAACCTTTTATAAATAAAATAATTTATAAGTAAAATTATAATTATAAACTTGGATTTTAATTTTATAACCTAAAAAAGGATATTATTATATACTAGAATATATTTTAAAATAAATATATTTAAATATATCCGGTATATAATCCTGCTGTAGCGGGTTAATATAAGCGAGATTAAATGCCTTATATAAAATAGACCACATGAAGGACTATAATAGCTTGAATTGATCAATCTGAATCTCCTCTTAATACTATCAGCAGGCTTGTATTCGCGCACACATCACGTGATCCACCTAAAAAAACATCCTCTTAGTCATCCCGTGATGGTCACCATCAACTTGCTACAACTTTACTTTCCCTAGCTGAATTGATCCGCTGCTCCTCAACGTAGCTCGTCCCCACGCTCTTTACTCTGTCTCCATCTCATATCAGCCGGGACCAATTCGCGTACAAGAAGCTATTGCCCGAGGGCCCAAAGGGGCTGGTAGGCCCGCCTCTGCAGACGGCGAGTCACCTAGGAAACTTGCCCTTTGTTATCCAGCAGTACCGTTGGGGGCATCACCGTCGGGGGCATCAGAGTCGAAAAAGCTATCCAACGGGTCATCGGCTGTGGGATCGACATCGAAGTCGCTATTTACGTGGGCGTCGATGGCGGTGGCATTGCCTTGCGAAGGAGGGTTCGTGGGCAAGTCGACACCCGAGTATCGATGACGACGCACCCAGCCATGCTCGGCGTCAATGTAGACGGTATCCCAGGCGTTGATCTTGACCATTTCTCTCTCGGGTACAATAGCGCGATGATGACGAGCCGACATTGCGAGCATACAAAGCCACCACAAGGCAAGATCCGTCGTGAGCACATCGACGCCGTTCCTGGTCCAAGGGATCGGCATGATTGCTGCCTTCCACTTTTCAGCGCCCTCGGCCTCCTGGCTAAAGCAGCAAACCACCAGCTCCTGGTCTGTTTGAATGTACCCGTATCGAGTTTGGCCAAATTGGCAAAGATTTGCCAGCTGTCTCACGGGCCAGAGAAGCTCGTGTGTCGTATTGTCGAGGTGGTACGCGAGCTCTCTGCCACTCCACTTCGAACTGAGTCTCCCGAGGCCAATTACCAGTGGCTGCTCCGGGAAGTCGTCAAGCGAGACTACGTGATCTACGATGAGTCTCGCTGACGCACCGGGCAATTTGGGAATAAGCAATTTGTCGGGGGTCGAATACTGTTGGCGAAGGACTACGCCTGGGCAAAGTCCAAGACACGCCTTGGCGAACTGGAGAGTCGACCCCATCATCCCACCGTTCCAGCTGGTTAGATGATTCATGTCGTCGGCCTTATGCATCACAAGGCCTCCCAGCATCTGGTCTGCTTGAGGGCATGTTAGCACAGGCTCTGCGACGGCGAAATCGAGAACGTGGCCGTAGCTTTCGTTGAGCGTGTTTAAATTAAACTCGTCCCAGATCACGACATGGTTCTGCAGCCAAGGCCAGCCACCGTTGCTGGTATTTCTATAAGATGTCGATGTGCAAGGTAGGAACGGTTTCTTTTGGCAGAGAACCTGTCGCAACGTGGTGGTTTTGTCGGCCATGTTTACAGCTCAAGGTCACAAAACCTGCGGCGGTAATAGTTTCTGGTAAGAAAGCAAATCTGAGAAGATATTCACAGCAGGCGTGGAAAACGACTTCACAGTTTAGAATAAGGCTGCAACCCCGCTCTCTGACTGCCCGTCACGCACGGCGCGGCCCGCGGTCCAAAGGTATTGCTCTCACAGGGTTGAGCCCAACGGTTACACGACGCATCACGAGACAGAGAAATTGCAAGGCCACTGGCCTCTGGCCCAACGGCTGCCTTGGGCTTTCAATTCATGCCCACCAGACTCTTTGCAAAAATTCAGATCTTGGGGGCCAAGTCCTTGAGGAATACCACCTACCCCCGATAATAAAGCAGATTGTCAAGGGAAATACGAACACAGTTCCGCACCCTTTACAGTTCTTATCACAGTTGCGAAACGAACTCGAAGTAAGTAACTGGAAGGTCAGCTAGAACTCGCAAACAGCCTGAGTTTCTCTACTTGTATTAGTATATAAGAATTTATAGCGTATTTAAATAATAATTCCTAGATATACTATTTATTATATATATATATAAACTATTAATTATCTTAATAATAATAATTAAAATAATAAAATATTAATAAGCCTAGAGTAGTTTATTGTAGCTTTTTTACTTAAAATAAATTTAAATATATTATAAAATAAAGCTAAATAATTACCTTAACTTACTAGTAATATAATTAATAATTATACCCGGCTTTAGTAATAGTAATACGTAATATAAAAAAAAACCAAATATATTATAATACATTAAATATACTAGCTTAAAAGGTAATATATAACCTTAAATACCAGAAAGCTAATAAATAAGTAGTAAGCTTATATTATAGTTTTTCCCCTTATTATAAACGGTTATATATTACAGTATTTTTATTCTGCTTAATATAACTACTATCTGGTATTAGTATACTCCAGCTTGCTAAAATACTAAAATCCGATTACTCTATAGGGTAGCTACCCGATTTCCATCTAATACATTCCATGAAAGGAACCCATGTTTACATAAAGCATTATCTAGACATCAAAAAAACATGAGACTCGTCTAATATTCTTGAGGCTGCCGCCACAAGCGTTACCAACCGCATCATGGGTCTATAACTTGGACCATGCGCGATTACACACCAAGGCCAGGACCAGCGCCCATCGGGATTCAAGGTTTATGAATACGGTTAAATAATAAGCATATTTGACGGATTCTCACTGGACGACGCACCCTCAAAACCCCTTCATGGTCCTATCATGACGGCCAATCCAGCCTTGGCAAAGAGCTATTGCAACCCTGATAGCCTTCAGCTGGACGCCCAAGGCACCCTGATGACCCGGACAAACAGCACCAATTCCAATTTTCCATCAAATTTTTCTGTTGAATTCAACGGATGTCAAGAATCTAGACCCGACACTTTGCCCACCTTGTCAATATGGCCGATGATTTTGAGCGATTTACCTGCCATCGCAAGCCTTGGCATGTCATGGACCGAACTCGTATAAAGACATGGACCTTTTCGCAGAAAAAACGAGACGCGGGTAAAACCAGGCTCCGGTCACATCTATTGTATGCTTGATTCAATAGTCCAAGCTGTTCGCAATGTATCCCGTCCTCGCAGCGTTGCTCCTCTCCCCCTCTGTCTGGGCATCTCCCGTCGGTCTCCGGGCAGAAACACCAACGCTGGCGATTCCCGCGCCCACCGAGTCGCCATCTTCGGCACACCAGTGGGCAGCGGGCTGGAAGCCCTCCTTCAACATCCACGAGTCGTGCAACAGCTCGCTGAGGGCTCAGCTTCAGCAAGGGCTAGATGAGACGGTCGAGCTGGCTCAGCACGCGCGCGACCATCTCCTGCGATGGGGGCACGCGTCCAAGTTTGTAGACAAGTACTTTGGCAACGGATCGACCGCGCACGCTATCGGATGGTACGACCGCATCATCGCGGCCGACAAGACGGAGATGCTGTTCCGCTGTGATGATCCCGACCGCAATTGCGAGACGCAAAAGGGTATGAGCCATCGAGCAAACTGTTGTATTGGAGACGCATGGTTAATTGACAGAGTTTAGGCTGGGCCGGACATTGGCGAGGGTCAAACGCCACCGCCGAGACAGTCATCTGCCCGTTATCCTTTGCGATCCGTCGACCTCTCTCGTCCGTCTGCAATCTCGGGTATACCGTCACCGGATCCAAGCTCAACACGTACTGGGCCACGGACCTGATGCACAGGTTATTCCACGTCCCCACCATCAGCGAGGGCATCGTGGACCACTACTCCCACGGGTACGCGGGGATCTTGGAGCTTGCCAAGAAAGATCCAGAGAAGAGCGGCATCGACACGGACGCGCTGCAGTATTTCGCTATTGATGTCTGGTCGTACGACATTGCGGCCCCTGGCGTCGGTTGCACCGGCAAGCCGCCCGCGGAGAGTGCGTCCCCGTCTGGCACAACAAGTACGACCGTGCCCGCGGCCACTGGCACAACTTCGAGTGCGGCGTCTGTGAGTTTGTTACTCCCTCGGAACTTGAAACAAAGCTTGAGCACTGACTGTGAAACCAGTGCCATACCCACGATGATGGTTTCATACACTGCACGTGAAGGTGACATTACACGGCAAGACGAAGCGAGCTTAATGAGAGACAAGAGGGAATGTGACTCACGAGGAAATTGTCATTTGCTGGAGCCAGATTCCTTCATCTTGGCGGCTCGTTGTGCAGACCGACTTGGCGCTGAGGCGAGAGAGAATATTTACATTCAAAAGCTTGAGAGGGTACTCCGTAATTAATAGCAAATAAATGGTATGGGGAATCAAAACGTCGGTCGCATACGCGTCGGTCGCAATCGTGAATAAACGGCCCCCGCAGCGCCGTGAAGATCTCGCGAACTGACGTGGAGCAACCACCAGACTACGGAGTAACTGTAACTCAATTTCCACAGCCCCTGTTGCGTCTGTTTTTGCCAAGAATTTCGTTTTACCACTTGCTGTCCTATCACCATCAAGGGGTTCAAATGGAGTTCAAATCAATGTCGGCGAAATTGCGCAGCGACAACTTTTCCACAACCATGCCCACGTGAGAATCTCGCGGCAAACCCCAGATTATGCCACTTTCGTTGGCCGCGAAGCCAACTTCGGCCCATGAAGGCCTGCGGGTCTGATGTGCAGGAGTTTTCGATGCGCCACCTGCCGCGTATCCGGGAGTGACCTGTGCCGTGTCTTGATGGAAGGCATCCATCATCACCCTGAGCGCCTCAGTGACCACAAGACCAGGAGATCCCCCTCTAGGCTTGACACCCGCAGGGTTGAACAACTCATTCATCTCAAGTTTATTGGGGCATGTCAGCCGCGGCGGGGGGCCCCTTGGCCGAAGTTGTGTTTTTGCTGTGACCGAGTGGAGCGTTGTCGATATGAGGTTGTATCAACAAAGCCCACACATGCTCGGTCCAAGGAAGACCCATGACTTGACTCAGAATCCCCTGACTTGCCGGATATCGTCGCAACATTGACACATGGCGTGGCGTCAACTTGGCTAGGGACTAGCCGCCGCTTGGGTGAGACATTTCTCGCCGTTCTGCGCCGTTGCCTCATTGGGCTCACAGTACTCCGTACCGAGCACGTAGTAGTATGTGATTGTGATGAGGAGGGTTGCAACGGCGCCAGCAACGGGGCGAGCCAACCGGATGACCGTGGGCTGCTTTCAACATGGCAAGAGATACAGAGAATGGAATCAAAAGACTCCGAGGCTGCACCCTTGTCAAACCACGACGCCAAGTTAAACCTCCAAAGCCGACATCCTTCTCTGGACTGTGACTGGCAAGCCAGAAAACACTAATGCCGCTTGTCAAATTTCCTGGCTCAGGGCCACCTAGCCGACGCAGCTTGAATGGAGACCTCTGCCCAGTTCTCGTGGCGCAGTGGCGTCTTGGTGAAAGCTCACGAGAGATGAATTGGACGAGTGACGAGGCGAGGACTCAATGGGCCCTCTTCAGACCCATGTTCCCCCATCGCCACATGTTGAAGCCCCGGAATCTTAGCCCCTACTTGTTCGGGCCTTCTGGGGGCCTCAGCTTGATGCGGGTTGCGCCTTTGGTGCCATACTCGCGCAGATGCATTGAAACACGGGTTGATTCCATCCGCTGGAGGCTGAGAGGACTCCACAAAAGTCGACCAGACGGTATTGTTCTTTCTCTCTCCTCTCACTCCTTCTGGCGAGGCTGGATGGATGAATGAGCAGTGAAGCGAAATATCATGTCGCCTAGAACATGTTGCGCCCCGAGACATGCCATCCTGGCGGTCGTTGTATCCCGTAGCCTCTCTCTCTTATACCATGCGTCTCGACCTCCTCGAGCATTGCGTTTGAGAGCTTTGTTTCCCGAATGTCCATCCCGCAGTGGAACCTCCAACTTGGAACCTGGCAGCTGGCCCTGTTTCTTTCGACCTTGATTTCCCCAGATGGATCCCCCTCCCCGTCCATCTGATGATGGGCTGCAGCAGCTCCTGTGAGTGAGATGGCGCATGAATCCCCGCCCCTGGGGCTCATTTACATGAATCCAAAAACAGAGACGACTGACTTCGCAACCTTCCCACCTCAGACAAAACGGGAGGCGCGTGCATTTGGGAGCTTTCCCAAGCCGTCGCGAACAAATGCGCCGCTTCAAGGGAGCCAAGGGCGACAGCATCGCGTCCGCGACGGACAAGGAGCGCCAAGACGACGACTCTGCAGCGGCCGCGACAACAAACTCGCGTCAGTCTTCTTCGAGCATCCCCAGCAATCGACTGTCCAGGACGAGCACCAGCGACTCGATACCCAGGCGACGTGCTTCTGAATACGAACAATCACCCATATCCAATAGGCGCGCTTCATCCAACGCATCTTCCACGTATTACCCAGCTCCCAGCCTATATCCAGCGCCGACAAAACCCCTTCCCGCCTTACCTCCCAAGGCAACAAACAGCGCCTCGAGATCCATTGGACGTCCCCCATCCGAACGATCTGTATCTTTAGCAAGCAGCGGACGTTCGTCGCACTATTCGGACAGATCGGGAAGCATTGCGGCCGGGCCAAGCGGATCCTTCTCCTTCAAGTCGCCAACATCTACCCAATATACAGCCCCGTCCGAATTCCAGCATGGAGATCAACAATCACAACTCTCCTCGTTGGAGCTTTGCTTCAGGAACATGATTGTGTCCCAAGATAAGCGCATCAACAACAGCGTCTACTACTTGGATGTATCCTCCACATCATCAACCCTAGCTACCAAACACGGCAATAACATTGTCAAGATTTGGTCTCTCGAGACTGGCGATATAGGAAGCGTCATCAAATTTTCATCATATACAGAGGCACAGTCGCGCTCGCGTGACTACCTCATTCGAAGCCATGCCATCCTATCCGAGACATGTAAGCTGATTGCCATTGCCACACGGTTCGGCAGGTCCATCGAAATATGGAACTGGGAAAAGAAGAAATGTCTGCAAACCCTGGACAATGCGGATCGCTGGGCCGTGGGGAAGATGGAAGTGTACGATCACGGGTGGGGACGTCTGGCGACGTATCGAGGCGAAACAGGCGTCATTGACTTGTTTGCGGCCACGAGGGAAAAGAAGCCCTTTGTCAAGATGAGATGCATCAATCTTGCTGAAGCAAACCTGCCCTTCATTCCACAATACCCCGAACTAGCATTGTCGCCAACGAGCCCTCTCCTTGTTGCTGCGGCAGGCCCCCGACCTCCGCGACGAGGACACCCGCCACCCGATAAAGAAACCCTCCTGGTGGCATGGGAGACGCATGACAACGGGCTTGTCGGAAGCAAACCATATCGGGTGGCTCGACCCTGGCAGCACAGGGAGATTGACACCGCGATTCCCTCGGACCTCACGACCTATGGCAGCGTCGTGGTGTCAATATGGATCCCTGCGACGTTCCGTGCCGTGCCAGCGCCAGCGTCTCGTGGGGGAGCCGGGTACAGCTATAACCTCACACCGGTCAAGGTGCCGTCTCGCCATGTATTGGTCTGGGATCTTGCGGCAAACTCGACCAGAACGTTTGCAATCCCCAACTGCACATCATGCATCTCCCCAGATTGTCGATATGTGGCGTACTGCCACGCCAGCGGAGCAGCGATTGGTGCCAGGGGAACGCTGGCCGTCATCGATGTAATGTCGTCCCAGGAGGTGTGGTGCTGGCCTGATCGGAATGCAACGGCAATGGATAGTGGTCCGAGGCCGGGCCTGAAGCAGTTTGAAGACCTCGCCCGTGTCACCGAGCTGGCCTTTGCGGCGGACAGCAAATCGCTGGTTGTGGGTGATGGCGAGGGCCGAGTTGGCGTCTATGATATCCGCGGAAAAGAAGATTCGGAGGGTTTGGGAAATTTGGCCATGGCGTATTGAAGGGAATGTTGAGCATAGTTGGTATCAAGTGTAATGCCCTACTGGTAATCTTGCAATTGAGAGTGGTACTCCCATGGTGATGCAACAAGTTCGGATCGCGATTCCCAGGTCCCATGGTCGTAAAGTGTCAGGTGACATACCCTGGCGAACATTTTTTTTTTTTGCCGTCTCAGACACGGTGACGCGCGGTTGCCGGTTTCCGTACAAACTTGCTGCGGAAGCGGCAGGTGCCAGGGACGTTGTTGCCATTTTTCGCAATCGAGTGCCCGTTCCCTCCCGCATCCCTCGTGACTCACCTTTCACTCACATTTGTGCCACACTACGCCGAGAAAATGACAATGTTTTTGGATACTTTTTATAAGCTACCGTAGGATCCCAAGTCCTACTCAACATGTGAAACCATTCTGTTTACCTTTTGTCCAAATACTGCCAATCTAATTCAACACTCGTTACAGGAATCTCGCTTTGAGCAAGCAAGCCACCACGACACCTCCATCAACAATCATGGCCACCTCTATTCAAAGTCTTCAGCAACATACATCCGAAAACTGGGGTATCGATAAAAGTCCCCTCCGCAAGTTGGCGACGACAACACATGATAAACGAGAATGACATCCATCTTCGAAACGCGGCATAAAGTTGAGCTTTTGACTCGGTCGGGCTCTTGCCTAAGCTATTCTGTTGCAAGAATGAGGAATGAGGTCGTGATTGCTTTTTCGACACCGCACGCCAGCGTCATGGCACTCAGCACAAATAACAAACTCACCACCGTCACAGGTCGTACACTCGTATGACGTAGTGCCGAGTACGGTGCATCGCGTACAGACCTTGCACCAGCAAGCATTTTCAATGAACTTGACGGGGTTTGTCTCCGGCTCCATGTCCTCATCCAACTCGGCGCCAGGATCGTGCATCGTGATGTGTTGCCGGACGAGCTGCAGCAGGCCCGGTCTACCACTTCGTCGAGCCCACCAAAGCAAGCTGTGTCCAAAGCTATCCAGTTGCTCCAAAGGGTAGGGACTCACGGCTAACAGCCGGCGCGCAACCGCTTCATGGCCATTTCTAACTGCCGTGAAGATGGGTTTCGAGCCGTAAGAATCCGATATAGTTGGTGACGCACCCCTTGCTAGGAACAAATCCACCATGACCGCGTTTCCTACCATTGCCGCATGGTACAATGGTGTTCGTCCATAGTTGTCTTTCAAGTCGACATCAAGCCCAGGGGTTCTAAGGAACAGCTCAACGAGTTCCGGGTGTTTATTTTGCACCGCAATGTGAACAGCGTTCCAGCCGCTGAAATTTCCTACCGCTATGTCTGCGCCCTGGGCGAGTAGCAGCTCGGCTACTTCAACATGACCGTTTTCTGATGCAGTGTGCAAAGCGGTGAATCCGCGACGACTTGTCGACAATACGTCGGCGCCGCGGGCGAGGAGAGACTCGACCACGGCGCAGTGGCCTCTGTCTGACGCGATGAGGAGAGAGGACGAGCCAGACTCATTTGTTGCCTTGATATCGGCTCCATGATCCAGCAGAAGCTCAACCATAGCAACGCTGCCAGCTCCGGAAGCGAGAGTCAGGGGAGTCCAGCCATTGATGCATGGTGAGTCTACGCTTGCACCCTTTTCCAGCAGAATCTGCACAACAGGCACATGGCCACTATCTGAAGCCAGTGTCATGGGTGTCCATCCGTTGCCACAGGGCAGAGCAACATCGGCACCTTTTGCTACAAGTATATTTACCGCCTCTACCATGCCCTTGTCGGCTGCCAATGCCAGAGGGGTCCAGCCATCCGCAGTTGCAGCAGCCGTGTTCGCTCCGTAGTCTATCAACAACTCGAGGATGTCGGCATGGCCAGAGTTGGCGGCTGAATGCAATGGCGTCCACATTCGCTCCGAGGTTACGTGTACATCAGCTCCATGGGCTAAAAGAAGCTTGGCCACTTCGAAATGTCCATTACAGGCAGCGGACCTGAGAGGCGTCCATCCCGTCTCGCTCGGGACAGATACATCTGCCCCTTTATTCAACAACAGCCTCACCACTTCTAGGTGGCCATCGTTGGCAGCCACACTGAGCGGCGTCCAGCCGGCGTCATTGGTCTGCAAATCGGCATTCGCAGCCAGAAGCAGGTTGACCAGGTCGACATGGCCTTGCCTCGAGGCAGCCGCCAGGGACGTCCAGCCGTCTTCATCCTTCACGTTGACATCTACCCCGGGTGTACGGAGCAGCAGATTGGCAAAGTTGAGATGGCCCTTGTCGGAGGCGATGGGTAGAAGCGGAAACTCGTGGACCTTGACGCCGGTGGAAACAGCGCGTCGCAAGGTCTCTACTCGGCCAGTCTTGGCTGCCCACACGAGAGCGGATGCGCTGGAGTTGTGTGCATTGTATCGATATAGATGGGCGATGAGTAGGCTATAGAGTCGCTTATTAGACTTGGCAAAGGCATCAATATCTCGCTCCGCATCCAGGAACTGGGCCACGGCTACCAGCAGCTCGTTAGCCAAGTCAGACAACGACATTCTGACGACCAAGTAATGAGATCAAGCAAGACGCAGCAATCGCCTGTCACGACCGACTGGCTCTGCCTATCGTCCAAGAACTGACGGTGGAGCGACACTCGAGCTCTGGGGAAACTGGACTGATCAACCAACCCACCTTGAGGGAGGCATTCTTTTGACAAAGCCAATGGAGTTGATGGTGGGGATTCAATGCACAATGACTATTGGTCGGGACCGCAGGCTTGTCACAAGACGGTGAAGCTGTGCGTCACAGCCTTTGTAGCCGTGCGGCTGGCTGGCGCGTGGGCGGAAGAGAAAAGGGTCAACTGGCAGAAAAGGCAGCGGCAGAGGCGCTCAGCCAAGCCGGACGAGGGCCCAGACAAGGCCAAAGTCGGTCAAGGCCAGACAAAGGACAACCCGAGATAAGCGGGTGCCGAGCCGCCCTGGTACACGGCATGAAGCATGAACTAACTTGACCTGAGACGATACGGCCAGTCGGCCAACATTGAAGGTGCCTCCATACAATTCTCGGTATATTGACAGCGACTTGCGCTGCGGTGGAACCCGATACTTGCGTCACTCGACTTGCCCGAGAAGAACAATTGGCGGTTGGTCCTCACACCCCGTCGGGGTTGCCCTGGATGTGGATTGTGGTCTTATGGTAGGACCAAGTCGTCGGGTCAAGGGAAGATGAGATTCGATATCCATAGCGCACAAAATCTGAGCAGCGGCACGAGTCGACTCCAAAAGAAACCTCGAGGCAAGACGGCGGCGATAGCTGGTTTACCCGATACGCGCATTGCTTGTAGTTGCTGTTGCTCATGAGGGCCACCGTGCTTCGCACTGATGCCATGTGCACAGGAATTTAATGTGGAGGGAAAGACAGCTCAAGGTTAACGTGTCGCCCACACTAGCCAGAACACTGTAGGGTAGTTTGTCCCACGAGCTTAGTCATCTTCGCCGTCGCGGCCAACTTTCCAACATTGTTACACAAAACTACGGAGCGAAGGATTCATTAATGACCCGAGCCGTCTCCATTTCCACGCGTTCGAGAAAAACCCATCATCGGGGAGTCCGCAAATACCCACGGAAGCGTGTCTTATCGCACGTGTCGTCTAGTTCTCCATAGTACTACCTGCCCGTCAAGGCACAGCCTCGCAACTCTGAAATCCCATATCTCGACACGAAAACTTTCAAGTCCCGCCCATCTCCACGTCTCCATAGAAAACCATGTGGAAAGCTGGAAACCGTGGTGGACGTGCTGCACGATACCAGCATGGGCCATGGGGTTCCCAGTGGTCAATTATGGGGCTGAACAGGCTTCGAATACTCATGTCTGTTCCTTCAGGCAATTCGAAGAAAAGATTTCTTCTAGAAGGAGGAACACGTGCATTACAGTCGGTCAAAAACGGGAATGGCATAATCAATTCGTATCTACGACGGTTACTGAACCTGCATTTATGCTCCCCAAGGAGCATCACAGCCGGGGCTATTGATGTACTCGGAGATTAGTGGTAGTGACAGCTTGGCACGTCGTTGAAGAAGGAGCAGTTACTCCAGGGCTATGCTGATTTCGACTATTTTATCGAAAGCGTCTCTGAGGCGACTGCTCGGTAACGGCAAAGTGTGGACAATGCTCGTACCTGTACTCGGCTTCGAGTAAGGATGAAGAGTGAACATCGACGACTTCATCAAATCAAATACTAGTCTTAAACACCTGTGCTTGCAGGACAAATCCACAAACCGTTTCTGCCAGTTTTCAAACGGACGTCATCGATGGGTCTTTTCGAAGCCAAGATATTCTGGAACATGACCATTTACATCAATAGATCCCCGAGTTCGGTACCTTGCAGCCGGGCCTGATCCTACGCCAAGAGACCCATCGGGAGTCCACACGAATCCCGTAACACTTGCCAAATCTATGAAAGCGTGGAAACAGATTTGACTCGGTGCTGTGACCAAAAAAGAACACAAAGTTGAGCGAAATGGACTTTGTGAAACCGGAAATTTGCTCTGAGATGAAGCACAAGACTGGGCTGTTACCGAGGAACCACGGTTCCATGATATCTATCGGTCCCCAGCTATAGATTATATCTTGTCTGTGTCCTTCTCCCTTGTTTCCAATGTGAACAAGCTCTCCCGCAAGGTACTGGATACACTGCGAGGCGACGGCCGTTAGCAGGCTTTACGGCTGCCATCATGAAGCCATATGCTTGTTTCACTGTTGCCCTGCTGGGGGCATCGGTTTCCGCAGAACAAGAAGCATGGTCGGTTACAACAATTTACCACACCGTTACCACATACTTGCCGTACGAGCAGCACCGCTGCTCTGCACTCTTTCTTCCCAGGCCGGGCAACTCTCAACTTCCCGAAGCAGCATGTCGCCCAGGAGCCTGCTGTGTGCAAGTGGTGAAGGAGAATGACTATATTCAAGAGCTTGTTCCCACTGAGGGTATTGGCAAGACAGCTCCCACTGGGAGTCCTACAACGCCCAAGACAACGGCATTGACAGAAACCAAAACGCTGTCACAAACACCACACAAGTCCTCCCATGGCGAATGGGTTCCCACTCAACCTCCCATTTCTTACACCGAGAACACTACCCCCAAGACTACATATAGCACTACGACGGGAACGACAGAGACTTTTCCCAGGCTAGAAACACATGTCAGCTCAATATCTACGAATGGGCTCAGGATTCCTGACATACCCGCGCTTTCTTCTCAGCATGTATCCTCACGACAGGGCTCGGGCGTGACAGCATCACCGTCAACGCAACAGTCTACGCCAAGCTTGACTGAGAACTCCAAGGGAGCTTCATTCTCCAAGGAACGGGGAAACGTCTCAAATGCAACAACCTCTTCCAAGTCAGCGTTGCCGATGAAACCATCAAGCACAAGGGCATGTCAGAGCTCATTTGGGTCCTCGTCGAGCTCACCAAGGTCACACAGCTCCATGTCGTCTAGGAAACCGGCGTCATCACAGCTCGTGAACCCCTCACAGAGACCTAGCACTTCTGTGGCTGCCAGTTCAACCAAGGCATCTTTACCAGGGTCAGAGAGTAACAATCACTATTCTAGCACCAACACACCTAGCTACTCAAAGCTACCCAATTCGTCTCAGCGGATCGGTTCACCGAGCCCTGCATCACCAAAGCTGGTATTCTCATCCTCAGGGCCCGCGAGCAAGCTGTTTTCCAGCGTGGAACCGACCACTTCCTCCGCATTTTCTACGGCTTCCTCCGGGCTGCGCGCGTCAAGCCACGTTTCAAAGCCTGCAAGTAGAAAGCCGTGGCCAAGCATAGAGACATCTGCGCCGCTGATGAGTTTTTCCAAGGTGAGCTGGAATAGCACAGCTTTACTGAAGCCGGCGAGCAGCCAACGGTTTTCAAGCACGCTGCCTTCCAGCTCATCATTGCAGCCGACAGGCTCACAAAAGCCGACCTTCTCAACACTGTCTGTGAACTTCCAGAAGCCGAGTTCTTCAAGCCAAACTAGCTCATCTCATACTTCGAGTGCCACTGTAGCCTCCCGCACGGAGTCGCCTGGTTCATCCGCACTGCCAAAGAGCTATCGGGAGCAAAGATCTTCGGAGACTCCATCAAGCTCTCGGAAGGTCGGCTCATCGCTGCCAATTAGCTCAATTGGAGCAAGTTCAACTATCCAATTGAGCAGCTTGCGACCCTCAGATTCTCAGCAGTCCGCCTCTGCGGCTTCATCCAGCGTACAAGAGCCCAGCTCAAGGAGACCAATTAATTCTGAGGGAACAAGTGCGTCGATGTCAGTTAGTTTGGCAACGCCGGCTAGCTCGTTGACGTCGGGAAACTCCTCGAAAACACTCATCTTGTCGATGTCGGTGAGATCGTCGGTTCCAATCAGGTCCTCAACACCAGTTAGCTCATTGATGTCAGTGAGCTCATCAATGCCAGCTAGTTCCTCAATGCCAGTTATCTCGTCGATAGCAGGGAGCTTGTCGATGCATAGCAACTCGTCGATACTAGTGAGCTCATCCCTGCTGCCTAGCTCCTCAACGGCAGCGAGCCCATTGACATCAGGCAGCTCGTCAAAACCATTGAGCTCATCATTGCCAGTTAACTCAGCAAAACTCCCGAGCTCGCTGACGCCTGTGAGCTCATCAATGCTAATTAACTCATCGATGTCGTTGGACTCGTCAAGGACATTAAGCTTGTCGATGTCGGTGAGCTCACCAATACCGGTCATCTCGTCAACGTCAATTGGCTCATCAATATCAGTAAGCTCGGAAAAACTATTGAGCTTCTCGTCGCCTGCTAGCGTAGAGGCCCCAATAACTTCCAGCAGAGCAAGTTTATCGGCCCCAGTTAACTCGTCGGTGCCAGTGAGCTCATCAATACCTGTGAGGTCGTCAACGCTACTTCGCCCCTCAATGTCAGTCACCCCATCGAAGTTGGCCAGTTCGTCGACACTTGTTAGGGGTTCTCAGCAGACAAACTCCCGGGCTCCATCAACTTCGCAGGGTGCCGGCTCAAGCAGAGCAAGCACATCTATGGTTGTCAGCTCGCCAATGCTCATTAGCTCATCCATGTCAGCTAGTTCCAGTGGACAATCAACTTCAAGCAAAGTAAGCTTAACGATGCCACCTAACTCATCAGTTCCATTGAGTTCGCCAGTGCTACTTAGCTCCTCGATATTAGTTAGCATATCGGAGTTAATCAGCTCGTCGGTACCAACTCGGGTTTCTCAAAAGCCAAGTTCCGTGACACCATCAAGTTCGCAGCATACTGGCTTTAGCGGGGCAAACTCATCGATTACAACCAGCTCGCCAATACTGCTCAGCTTAACGAAGTCGATTAGCTCCACCAAAGCAAGCCTATCAGTGCAAGTTAACTCATCTGCGGTGGCTAGCTCGTCGATGAGGGTTAGCTCATCAATGTCAGTTAGCTCAACACAGCCAATGAGTTCGAGCAAAGAAACCTCGTTAACACGAGTGAGCTCATCGATATTAGCTCAGAGTTCCCCACGACCAAACTCCGCGACTCTGTCAAGTTCGCGAAACTCCTCAAGTCGGGCAAGGTCAATGGTATCAGTTAGCACAGGGAATTCGAGGGAAACAAGCTCATTAAATGTGATGAGCTCATCGATGCCAGTGCGCTCGTCGATGTCAGCTAAGAGTTCTCAACAACCAAGCTCCGTGGACCTATCAAGTTTTCAACCCACCAGCTCTAACAGAACTATGTCAACGACGCCAGTTGCCTCAACGAAACCAACTACTTCGACAAAAGCAAGCTCATCAACGCTTATGAGCTCATTGATGCCAGCGAGCTCATTGAAGCCGGTGAGCTCGACAAGACCAGTTAGCTCAACGAAAATAATCGATTTCTCTAAAGCAAGCTCATCAGTACCAGTGAGCTCGTCGATATTAGCTCAGAGTTCTCAACAACGAAGCTCAGCAAGTCCATCAAGTTCACACAGCCCTATTTTCGCCAGTTCAAGCTCATATCTGTCAGCGAGCAGTTCACATTCATCAAGCCCTGGGGAGCAAAGCTCGACAGTCTTATGGAGCTCACAGAAACCAAGCTCTAGAAAGAAGAGTTCTTCTATGCCTTTAAGCAGTTCTCCTTCATCCAGTGCGCATTCTTTTGCTTCCTCAAAGACACCAGTAAGCTCACAAAAACCGGGCTCTTCTTCAACTTCGCAGACACCAAGCTCCTTAATGCCCGCCAATTCAAGTATAAAAAGCTCATCTCTCCCGAAAAGCAGTTCGAAGTCGTTCAGTGCGACTTCTTCTTCCTTCTCGCTATCCCCTTCCAGCTCGCAGAAATCAGGTTCATCAATGTCAGAAAGCTCATCAGTTCTGGCTGGTTCTCATAAAGCAAGCTCTTTTGTGCCTACAATCAGCTCACATGTATCAAGTGTGACGCCTACCAGCTCGTCCGTGGCATCAAAGAGTTCACAATCGTTAAGTTCCTCAGCACCTCTCTCGAGCTCGCGGAAGCCGAGCCCAGGCAAAGCCAGCTCATCTATGAGCCAAAGCATTCCAGGGTTATCAAGTACAATGAATCCAAGCTCGGGCTCATCTACTCAGTCGAAGAGTTCGACAAGGGTACACTCCTCAGAATCTCTTTCAAGTTCACAAAAGCCCAGCACATTAGTTTCAGCCAGTCCCAGTGAAGCAAGCTCGTCAGTGCCGGCGAGTAGGTCACCTATGCCTTCAAGCAGCTCACAGTCATCAAATATGACACCTTCAAGTTCAAAAACCCCGAGCTCCTGGGTATCTATCTCAAGCAGGAAGGAGTCTAGCTCGTCGATGCCGGCCAGCACATCTATTCCAATTAGCTCCAGGAAAGCAAGCTCAAAGATGGCAACAAGTAGTGTATCCGTGCCTGTGGATAGCTTGAAGTCATCAAGTCTCATGACTTCCGGTTCTTCTATGTCTCTTACAAGTTCGCATTATCCGCGCTCCTCAGTGTCCCCCCGAAGCCAGCAGACGCTTAGCTCATCAATCCCAGTCAGCTCTAGTAACTCACGCCTGTCTACGCTTGAAAGCAGCTTTTCCATGCCCACGAACAATCCGCAGTCATCAAGAAGAATGTCTTTGAGTTCATCATTGTCACAGAGCTCACAACATCTAAGTTCTGCTGTTCCTTTCCCGAACTCGCGCCAGCCCAGCTCAACCAAGACCAGCTCGCAGCTGCCAAGGACTAAGGCGTCAAGCACCAAATCATTAGGCTCATCAACTACTAAAAGCACCCCCAAGGTATCGCGCACAAAAAGCTCTTCTACCTCTGCAAGTACCAAGGTATCGAGATTAGGAAAGGCAAACTCCACTACGGCTGCGAGCAGCTCACAGTTATTGAGCTCAAGAAAGACAAGCTCGTCTATCGCTACAAGTAGTCCGAAGCCATCACAAACCACGTTGTCAAGCAACAAGGCCTCAAGCTTATCAACTTCTTCCAGGAGCTCCCAGACCTCAAGCTCAAGAAAGTCAAGCTCGTCTACCGCTACGAGCAGCTTAGAGCCGTCGAGTACTAAGATATCAAGCACTAAAGCATCAAGCAATAAGATAACAAACACCAAGATATCAAGCTCGTCAACCACTGTAAGAAGCTCACAGCTATCACGCACTGAAAGCTCACTCGATACTACGAGTACCAGGGTATTTACTTCTGGAAAGGCAAACACGTCTACGGCCGTAGGAAGCCCACAGTTATCAGTCAAGAAGACGTCAAGCACCAAGGCATCAAGCTCATCAATTTCCACAAGCAGCTCACAGCCATCGCGCGCTAAAAGCTCATCTACTGCTACGAATACCGAGGCACCAAGCTCAAGAAAGGCCAGCACGTCTGCAGCCATAAGCAGCCCAAGCAGCAAGATGTTGAGCAAGAAGACATCAAGTGCCAAGGCATCAAGTTCACCTACTTCTGCTAGCAGCTCACAGCTATCACTCACTAAAAGTGTATCTGCTGCTACAAGCACCAAGGGGCCAAGCTCAAGAAAGGAGAGCACGTCTACTGCTATGAGCAGCCCACAGTCATCAAGGTCCAAGATATCAGGCAACAAGTCATTAAGCGCTAGAACATCAAGTTCTAGGGTGTCCAGCTCATTGAGTGCTACGAGAAACTCGCAGTCAACAAGCTCCGGAAGGACGAGCTCTTCTACTACTGGAGGCAGCTCACTGCCACCAAGCACCAAGGCATCAAGCTCATTCACTGCTACGAGCACCAAGCTGTTGAGTACTAAGGCATCAAGCTCGAGAAAGACAAGTACATCTACTGCTTCAAGCAGCTCACGAGCGTCCAATACCAAGGCATCGAGCAGCAAAGCGTCGAGCACCAGGTTCTCAAGCTCAATGAAGGCAAGCTTATCTACAGCTATAAGCAGTTCACAGCCATCAAGTACGAAAATATTAAGTGCAAAGACATTAAGTACCAAGACATCGGACACCAAAGTATCGAGCATCAAGATACCAAGTACTATGATACTAAGTACCAAGGTATCCAGCACTAAAGGGTCCAGCTCCAAGGTCTCAAGTGCAAGAAAGACAAGCTCGTCTGTTGCGATAATTAGTCCCTCATCATCGGACATCAAAATGTCAAGCACCAAGGTATCGAGTGCTAAAGCATCAAATACCAAGGTACTAGGTGCTACGGTGTCGAGTACCAAGACGTCGACGATTCAGGCATCAAGCACCAAGATATCAAGCAACAGCATGTCAAGTAGCAAGGTATCAACCTCATTCACTAGTACAAGTGCCAAGGTGTCCAGTACCAAGGCACCTAGCACTAAGACGCCAAGTACCAAGATGACAAGTGCCAAAGCATCGACTACCAAGACACCAGCTGCGAAGGCTTCGAGCACCAGGATATCAAGCAACATGGTATCAAGTAGCAAGGTACCAAGCTCGTTGGCTATTACGAAAACTAAGACGTCGAGCACCAAGGTACCTAACAATAAGTCTGCGTCGCCAAGTACCAAGATGTCGAGTACCAAAGCATCAACTGTCAAGTCCTCAACCACCAAGGCATCGAATGCACAGGCAACTAGTACTAAGACGTCAAGTACCAAGATATCAAGTACCAAAGCATCGATTGCCAAGACAGCAGCTACGAAAGCATCGAGCACCAAGACGTTAGCCACCAAGGCATCGACTACCAAGGTACCTAATACCAAGTTGTCAAGTACCAAGATATCCAGTACCCAAGCATCATCTGTCAAGATATCAAGCTCCAAGAAATCAACCCCTAAAGCTTCAACCGCCATAGAATCGACTACCAAGGCATCTAGCAGCAAGACATCAACAACCAAGCTTTCAAGCACCAAATCAGCAACTACTAAGACATCGACTGCTAAGACGTCGAGCACCAAGGTACCCAGCACCAAGGTATCTAGCACGAAGACATCGTCTACTAAGGCATCAACCATCAAGACATTAAGCAGCAAAGCGCCAAGCACCAAGACGTCGAGCACCAAGGTATCTAGCACGAAGACATCGTCTACTAAGGAATCAACCATCAAGACATCAAGCAGCGAAGCGCCAACCACCAAGACGTCGAGCACCAAGGTATCCAGCACCAAGGTATCGTCTTCTAAAGCAACAACCATCAAGACATCGAGCACCAAGTCCTCAACCACCAAGATATCAAGAACTAAATCAGCAGCTGCTACAACATCGACTACTAGGACATCAAGCGGCGAGGTATCCAGCACCAAGATATCGTCTTCCAAGGCATCGAGCAGAAAAGCTTCCAGTCCTAATATATCGAGCACCTGGGTATCTAGCGCCAAGACCTCCAGCACCAAGGTAGCGGCGCCAAGCTCATCCATTGGACCAAGTTCAAGCACAATGCATTCTACCAAGTTCAAGACGAGCTCCAAAACATTACAAGCCAAGTCGTCGTCAAGAAGCAAGGCATCAAGCCCATCTACAATTATTACAAGCACCAAAGCATCAAGCTCAAAAAAGACGAGCTCATCTACAGTAACAAGCACGCAGGCACCAAGCTCATCCACTGCTCAAAGCAGTTCGCGGCCACCAAAAAGCAAAAGACCAAGAACACGGAGGCCAAAATCACGGAGACCAAAAACAAGGGCATCAAAAACCAAGACGACAAAGGCAGCAAAGACGAGCTCGTCTACTATTCCCACGACAAGTAGCTCACAGCCGTCAAGCACAAAGGCATCAAGCACGATAGCGCCAAGCTCAAGCAGCCAGTCGCATGCCGCCAAGGTGTCGTCAATCACAACATGGACGACAACCACGGTGGACGGATTCGCCAAGGCTTGCCCGACGCCGACGTGCCAAACCGGCATCGAAAGCGCGCTGTACTACAACCCGTTCCAGAACGACCCCAGCAGAGACTACGGCAGCTTCCAGCCGTCGTACTTCCAGCGCAGGCGGCCGATGGAAACGCGCGTGGTGGACAGCATCTACATCCGCGACGACGGCACCAATATAACGCTGGCCAACGCGGCCATTGAGTATCGCGGGTTCCTGTACGCGTGCCAGGACGGCTGGTACACGTTCCACTCGTACCGGTCGGATGACATTACGCTCATGTGGTTCGGCCCCAAGGCGTACAGGGGGTGGACGCGCGAAAACGCCGACATTAGCCAGTTCTACTTTGGCGACAATGAGCCCAAGAGGGTCGACAGGATGCTCAAGGCCGGCACGTACTATCCCATCCGCGTCATGTGGGGTAATCTTGGCAGCGTGGCCGAGTTGTCGCTGCGCATTCAGGGGCCGGACGGACGGGAGTTGTTTGGGAATTACTTGACGACGGAGGCCTGCGATGCGTCGTACCCGAGGTATCTGCCTTTTGGCCGGGAGCGATAGATTTGCGTGATTTTTTTTTTCTTTTGTATTGGATATGAGAAATGATGACGGATATGGCATTTGCTTCAACGTACATATTGGAGTCGTGTTTTTAATCATGTATCATGTATCATGTGTAATGTGTAGTGCAGGGCCGGGAGTGCTGCCGAGAATGTCTAGCGGCGGATTTATTTCATTGTGATTATTTATTTACGCATGTATTTATTTCTACATTATTGGCGACTATTTATTGGCTTATTTTACTCGTTTACTTTTATTCTTGGCCACTGTCCATGGATGGAATGACGCTTGACTCTGCGTGCGCCTGGGTCGCCCGGGGCAATCTCCCCGGCCGTCAATGCAAGCTTGAGGCATCTTGGACACGGTCTCTGATGACTCGGCTTCCCGCCTGAGGAAGCATCGACGGCAATATTGACTTGACATGTCTGGTCCAGTGCCCGGATGCGGCCACGCAGATGTTGCATCATCAATTGAACTGATGTTCAGATGGACCAGGCGCGACCTGCAGCGGCCCCAGCGCTGCGCGGCACCTCTGCAGCGGCGTGGCGCGCCCGTGGCCACCCGTCGTCCACTACAATTGCCCCGCGGCGGCGGCTGCGACCGGTTCCGTGTTGCCAGGCATCAATTGATCTGAGCACGACATCAGGACATTGATTGAAAAGACTCTGGTGTCCATGCCAAGCTGCAAGCCTTTGGCCTACCATGTATTTCTACCTCTATCCTGCCCCCAAATGCCGCCAATGCGTCATATAAACTTGTCGACACACGCCTAGGTACACCGACAGGCACACGGCATTACATCATGGCCGCAACAGACTTCCCACGTCCTCTACAAACCGCCCTCCACGACACGCCTTGATTGGCCCGCGACGCTCGCATGCGTCAGAGCCTCTGGCCGATCAGAGCCTCGGGTTGCCTACCTCGGCAGGACGTGTCTGCTCGTCGCCAATAATATGCAAAAAAAAAGAATCCGCTAGCCAATCCCTTACCAGCGACGACCTGTCCTCCGCCACAACGGCCAGGATGCCGCGCCGATGGTGCGGCATCTAGACGCCAATCACCACGCGCCTAGCTCTTATTACTGTTGTAAAATGGCGCAAAAACGCGCATGCGTCCAACGTCATGTGCGCAACGCAAACGGCTGCATTGCCTGCGACGGCCTTTCATCACCAGCGCACACGTTGTTGCCTCGTCTGCGCTCGTTTCGACGACGAGCACCGTCAACGCCCTGCTCCCGCTGGGGCGGTCGGAAGACGACGGGACGGAAGAGGGGGAAGGAAGCCAAGGAGCAACGGCCACAAGTGGGTCCGTGTCCATGTCCATGTCCGATGGTGCCATGACGGCCCGTGGAGAAAACGGCGTGCTGCAGACTCCACCCCCGGAACCGGCAGTGGACGGCCAATGTACCAGTTGACGTGTATAAATACGGCCCTGGGGGACGCAGTCTTTTGCCTTTTGAGCAAGACGTTTCAACTCGACGATTCACCGAACTTTTCCCCCGGACACACACAACTTTTTTTTTGCAGTCTGCCGCCATTCTTTTTCTCTCCCCAACACCAGTCCCGAACCCCGTGACACCCAGACCCGACTCGCCATGGGATCGACCGCCACGACGGCCAACGTGGCCCACGAGACGCTGGCGCGCGTCTACGCCTCGTCCGACGTGGCCGCCACGCGGGCGCTGTACGACGAGTGGGCGACGACGTACGACGCGGAAATGGCCGACGCGTCGCAAAACTACGTCGGCCCCGCGCTCGCCGCCGCCTGCGTGCTCCGGACGCTGGGGCCCGAGGCGACGGCGCGCGCGGCGGTGCTCGACGCCGGCTGCGGCACGGGCCTTGTTGGCCTGCACCTCGCGCGCGCGGGCGCCCGCACCATTGACGGCATCGACCTGAGCCCGGGGATGCTCGCCGTCGCGCGCAAGACGGGCGTCTACCGCGCCCTCGACGCCGTCGACATGTCGGGCCCGCTGCCGCCGCGCGACGGGGCCTACGCCGTCGCCGTGTGCATCGGCACCTTTACCCAGGGCCACGTCGGGCCCGGCGCCATGGACGAGCTGGTCCGCGTCGTGAAGCCCCAGGGCCTCGTCGTCGCCACTGTGCTCGCTGCCATTTGGGAGACGGGCGGGTACGCGGCCAAGGTTGCTGCCCTCGTGGCTGATTCTAGGGTCAAGCTGCTCGGCGCTGAGCTGATTGACTACCGACAGGGCGCGGGCGTGCAGGCCCGCTTGGTTGTTCTTGAAGTGCTATAGTGCTCGTGTGTTTTGCGTGATATATTTTTTTTTTTGGTGCCGTGACCACCCGGGTAATGCCGCCGTTGCTGGAAAACAAGAAAAAACAGGCTGTGAGTGAGGTGATTTGCGGTGCGACATGTATAGTGTCCCTGGCCAATTTTTGGAGTCTGGATGGGTGGATGCGATACATGAAGAAACGTGCGCCCCAAGTGAAGTGAGAGGAGTGAATCGTCGTGGACGTCAGCTACAGTCTTTACCTATACTTTATTCATGCTGTACAGCCCGGAGCCCGGATTGAGACGTGTGATTGCCGTAGATGATCGTCGCGGGAGGTGACGAGGCGTTGATTCACGACGTGCCCTTGCGTTACTTTGTCGAACTGGGTAAACTACAAATTAGAGTCCTCGGGCAGACAGTAAATGTGATACGTACATAAAGAAAAAGTAAACTCTCAAGTAATCTCCGCTTTTTGTAGTGTAGGTGGTGAAACTTTTGACAGTAAAGACCAGTGTTGCTGGGATAAGGCATGATGGTACATCCATCTCACTACGGATGTCTGTAGGTCGTCGTTGAGGTACCACAAGTCGCAAGCTTCAATTGATCAATTAAAATGGGTCGTGCATTACCTTGCCATCTAAATACGTCACCGTGGGCCGGCTCGTCCAACGGGGTCTGGTCGGCCAAAGCACGTGAAACGCTCGGGACCCGGCCGATTTTCAAAGCGCCAATTTGTCATCAGAATTGGGAAGCCGACAATCTGACTAGCAGGCATGGTTTCTCGTCACCAACAAACACCGACATGCCCAAAATCCACAGCAATTGAGCTGATCCGGGTCCTCGATCCCCGATCCATTTAGTTGGATCTGTTTTTAAGATTCATTCTTTTCATAGAAGATAAAACAAAAAAAACGAATCTACGGCCCCGACTCGTCCTCTTGCAAACCATCATGACTGCGCGCGTTGACAATCATGCGCTGGGCCGATCGGGTCGCCGCAAAGGTCAGCACCAAGCTACACGCCCGCTCTCGGCGACACGGCCGCTGACTCTGGCACAGCATGCGACTTGTGTTTTACCAAAAAGATCAAATGCGACATGCTGCAGCCTACCTGCTCGAATTGCATCTTGTACAAGGCCGAGTGCACCACCGGCAAGGGGAGGCGCAAGCCCAACCCGCCCGCAAGGGTGCGCGCCGCCGCCATCCAACACCATCAGCAGCCGCAGTATACAACGTGAGTCTGATTTCTCAAGAGACATGGGTATTTTATTTTTATTTTTATTTCTATTTTTGCGCCGGGTCAACGCAGCTGACGTTTGCTGCTGCAGAGCAAACACGGAGAAGACAGAAGACCGCCTGGCCAGGATCGAGAAACAGCTGGAGCAGCTCATTGCCATGCAGGCTTCGAGGCCGGCAGACACAACCGGTTCGTGGTCGTCGTCCCAGTGCGAGCAGGGCGGCGACAGTGCCATGACGCTGTCCAATACAGACTTTGACGTCGCATTCCCGTCCCGCGACCCCGTGGTATTCGATTCGGCGTCGACCAAGTTCCCCTTGGCCATGGACCTCGCGCCCAGGGACGAGCTGCCGCTCCCGCCCCAGGCCGACATCATGCCCATTGTCGACCACTACTTTGACACGTACGCGTACATCATGCCCCTGTTCGACCAGAAATCCTTCATGTCCATGCTCTACCAGTGGTACACGGACCCGTCGACGCGCAACAAGGCCTCCTGGGCTGCCATCCAAGTCGTGCTGGCCATTGCCCTGCGCACGCCGATTCCCGAGCTGCTCAACGGCTGCGGGGGGTCGGATCGGCACCACCGCGCAAACTTCTTCCTCAAGAACGCCCAGTCGGTCGTGTCGGACCTGGTGACGAGGGACAAGGACCTGCTGGGCCTGCAGGTCCTGCTCGGCATCGTCATGCTGTTCCAGAACAGCAGCGACACCAGCCCGGCGAGCGTCATCATCGGCACAGCCATACGCCTGGCTCATAGAATGCGCCTGCACTCCAGAGACCATGCCGAGCTCTTCTCCCCCGACGAGAACCTGCAGCGGCAGCGCCTGTTCTGGATCGCCTACGTGCTGGACAAGGTAACCAACGCCCCGCCCTCCTCTTGTGTAGCAAACAAACAAGGCCTGACAGATACAAGGACATCTCTCTTCGCATCCAAGTCCCATCCGTCCAGCTGGATAGCGACATTGACATCGATGTGCCGCCCGTCAAACCCGCCGACGACGTGGGCGTCCTCTGGACAAGCGACGGCCAGACGTGCTTCAACCACCACCGGTCCATGATCCACCTCGCCCAGATCCAGGGACGCGTATACGACTGGCTTCACTCAAACAGCTCTGCCAAGATGTCCCGCCAGTCGCGGCAGCAACGCGTGCAGCAGCTGGATCGCATGATTACCCACTGGTACAGCACCATACCCGCGGCCTTTAACCTCGAGAATTTGGACGCGTCCATCGGCGAGTGTGCACTGATACACATGGCCAAGATGTATCATGTGTACCTGCTCATCCTCGTTATGACGTACGGCATTTACAACCAGGACTCGAATTGGGTCCAGGCAATTCGATCCGGGGACCGCAACGCGATTCGAAACCTGGTATTGGGTACTGAGCGCTACGATTCCGGCGCCGCGTCACAAAAGCAAGTCAGGTTGCTGCCGGGGAGCTGGCACAAGGTCGTCCAAGTGAGCCGGGGCTGTTTGCGCCTCTTCGACATGTGTATACCGACAGAGTGTCTCATCTGGTATGCCCGTAGTCACCAGCGAGAAGCAGTCAAATTATACTAACTTGCTCTAGGCAATGCTCCTGTCCTCACTTCTCGGGAATGATGGTCCTCCTGGCGAACCTCCTCATTGAGCCCACACACGCGGATGCCGTGTCGGACGAAATCTTGTCCGCGCGCGCAATCCAGCTCTTTGACAAAGTCCTCGAACTCATCCCTGATCCAGAACACTACACCGATATCCGCGTCATCATTGAAGAATTGTATAATAGAGCTGTGCTCGTCATCAACGAGGCCAAATCGCAGGGCGGCGACGACCAAGTCGACGTTTTGGAGGCAAATTTGCTGAGTTACGAGACGCTGGATGGGGATCCATGGAGCTGGGCGGCTGCTCTACCGGGCAGGACCGACTTTTCTGCCGATACGAGAGATGGAGACGGGGACAGTCTTGGGGTCCTGCCGTTGTGCAGATGAGGCCCAGTTCTGACGATTCATGCAAATTTTTTCGTCGGTTGCTTGGATACGGGATTGCTGACTTGAAAGAGATCCTGAATGCTTCAATTTGCGGATATTATCGCCTGACCACAGTTTATGTATCCACCGACCGATTTCTCCTTTTTTTAAAGCAACCATGCTTCGCCAACAGTGCAATTTGACCGGCCCGGTAGAATGTCAGGCGGACGGGAAGCCATCATTCACAAAATCCTTGCACCTCCCGGGCACCCCAATAACGGGCCCATCAAAAAAGTCATCGGGGAGTCTGAACGACGGGTCATAATCTTTCATGGCGGTCAACGTTGTCCGCACAACGTCGAACCCAAAATTATGAGACATGGCTTCTGGGTAGTCTCCTGCCAAGATTTCATCGTTAGATGGACTTGCTATGGACAGCCAGGCCACCACACTTACGGGGTATTTCGTCGTCGCTCATGTACTGGCGTAGTTGGTCTCTCACCAGGTCTGCCTGGTCCGCACCCACATTGCTGAGAATTTGAATGACGCTTGTTCTTCTATGCCGAGTGGTGTAATAAATCTCCAAACGTCTTTCTATTTCGGCCGGCGTCTCGGCGCCGCAAAGAGTGATGCCAAGAGCAAGGCCGTCCTCGAGCCCCTGGGCACCGCCTTGACCTTGATCTGCCATGGTGAGCATACATCGGGGCGTTGGAACCCATGGCCCCAGTGTTCAACTTACGAGGAAGCATGGGATGTGCAGAATCACCAGCCAGGGTCAGTCGACCCTTGCTCCAGGTTGGTAAAGGGTGTCGGTAGAGCAGTGGCCAACGCTTGACATCTGTTGCCTTGCTGGTGGGTAGTCAGTCCTCGTCCTCTTGCGGTTTCGGGGGAACAGAGTTGTGCACCTGATGACCTTGAGAAGTCTGTCATTAAAGTCGGAAAATGTATCTATGACGTGATGAATATCAACAGTGGCATGCCAATCTAGATTCCGTTAATACGATGCCAATTACGAAGCCAAGATTTCAATGGGACCGACTTTCTTGCCTGTCAGATTTGGTTTCCGGTTCGTGAAAAAGGCCTACGAAATTGAGAAGCGTATTACTTTCATCTTGTTAGTCCGAGTGCTACGACAAATCCATGATACGAAGACTGACTTTCGACAAGGATATACTACAAGTCTGCGTAGTGATTTATCGTCTGGAAATAGTTGAGAGTAGCCCTCATGGCCCTCGGTAAAGAATTTGGTTTCGGGATCTGCCTCCAACGTCTCCACAGGGATGAGGAAGCGATAGCAATAATTTGCGTTCACGGGATCAACGGGAACAACTTTTCGGCCCAAGATGGCTTCAGGCGCGATGGAGTGGACACCGTCGGCAGCAATGACTAGATCGCCACATATTTCACGCCCAGTAGCGAGCGTGATGGACGGCTTCCAAGGATTCTAGCCGTGTACACTTTGTTAACGTACAAAACCAACAGCCGTTGCAAAAATACTTGTGCGCCATGAATAAAAACATACCAATGCCATGACCAGCGAGTCTAGGTGAATCGTGGCCGGGGCACCAGGGCCATCGGATCTGGTGGCCATCCATTTCAAAGCGTTGTGTAGGTCGACACGATGGGATAACCACAGGGGTAAGCCGCCAACGGAATCAGCCGACTTCTCTTTGTACAGGGCAGCTATCGGCCGCAGAGTAAAAGGATCAACCAAGTCCGCATGCCGCGCCTCTACCCAGTGCCATTGGACAGGATCCAACCCCCAGGCCGTCAGAAATCTGCTCGCATTGGGAGGCACGTGGATGGCAGCACCGATCTCGTCGTTCATCGACGACTTTTCGTATAAATGGACGCAGTGGCCAGCCCGTCGAAGCGAAATGGCTGCCGATAGGCCCGCAATTCCGGCCCCGACAATAATGACGTTGAGCATGGTATCAGGTGCTTGGGCGAATCCGTACGATCTCCAACAATGGGGTCGGCCACTTGTGTGTTGTTTGGCTGGCTGCTGAGAGACGGGCGATCCGATGCCTATCGACGTCGATTCTCCTTGGATGAACCACTCCACAAACATGGCATGTTGCGAGAGCCAAGAGGTTGAAGCAGGCAAGCGCGAGATTTAATAGACAGCGCGGGAAACATCAGCCGCAAAGACTTTCAAACACCCATCGGCAGAGCTATTCGGGCTAGCACTCAGCAGTCGGCAGCTATAAGAAAAGCGGATCGTGGGGGGCGGGATGAAGAAATTGAAGACATGGATGGGCACAGGAAACTAACAGGAGTCCGTTTGCAACACTGCCCACCTAGGCAGAACTGGTCTTGATGTTCTTCCTCTTTGGACGCCCACGGCGCCTGGAGGCATTCAACAATACGTAATGGCCGCAAGAGTGGCTTGGTGACGGAAGCATGTCCGGTCCAACAGTCGGCCGTCACCTGTATTTTGCCTCGCAATTCAGCGACATGGATTGTGCAGACGCATGGGGCGTCATCTTTCCTGTGGCCGCCGCAACTGTGCAGGTCCAGCCAGCACTTGAGCTGAAAAAGAAAAGAAGCCGCGTGCGGCCGACTCTCAAGCTGCCAGCAGGTTTTAATTGGTTGCCGCAGACCAAATTGACACGAGGATGTCTTGTTGGGAGAGTCTGCAGTGTCCGGTGGGCGCGCATTCCGGTAGATGGCAGACGGCAGATGAAGAGGATTCGAGGGGCACGATGCGGGGAGCAAACGGGTTGTGGGCGGCAGATACGAGGACGGGAAGGAGCCAGGGAGGGGTGCCAATTCAGGTGGTGGAAGGTGCAGCCCACCACTTTCCGTCGCTGTTCTTTTCGATCAATTCCATGTCCGCATTTCCCTCGCTTGGCGCACCCTTCCTTGCCGCTTGCCGCTTTATAGCAAGGCGTCGTAATACCAGACAATGGCGACACCTTCCCACACATTGCAGAAAGATGCCACACCAAATTCTACTAGCTGAAAGAGAACACCGTGACCTATTTTACCTTGTCCTACAGAGTTGAATCCTTCATCTTATCGCAAAGAGTATCCAACTCTCTAGAATAAGGTAAACTAAGATATGGTGTTTATTTAGAGCTAGTGGATTTTTGGCGTGTTTCGTTTTACCGTTTTCTCTACTTCTGCTATAAAGTATTTTCTTCTACCAAACGTAGATAATTCTCCATTTTTACCTAACAAGGACATATTAATAAAAAAATCATATCGTTCAACGCCAAGGTATAGCTCTTACTCTAAAGTCTAACCTGCGCAAGCTTGTAGAGATGAACTTATCCGCAGCGTGACTGTCCACAAGACGCACAAACCTTTGTCTCACTTGCAGGGCAAAGTCGAAAAATGTGTGCTACGTATGTACTAGTCGGAAGAAGACAAAGGACACGTCGGTACACAACTGAACAGCAGTGCGCGGATTCCTGATACATCACGGTGCCAGGGGCGTATTGTCGGAGGTTTTGCCTCACAATCCGCTGCCACCGCCTCCCAGATCCCACGCATACCTCTTCTCTTAGAGAAAGGGCTGCCTTCCATCTCGGCCGCTACCAGAGCCTCAACCCGATTCTCTTCTGCCTTGCTTCCAATCTAAATACGCCATCATCTCCTCCTTGGTCCAATCTCTAGAGCCTTCCTGCATTATACATTAGTAGGACCGACTTGACTACTGCGAAATGCTGCACACAAGCAGGATTATTCCTGGAAAGTGGGTTATAGCTATAGCTGCTCCCACCCGCTAGCACGTATGTCTTTAAGAGTCCAGTCGAGGACATCGGACCTTGTGGGGCAGAGGGCCCACTAATTTACATCTTGGGCAGCCGAAGAGTTTTCGTGAGTCAGGGTCCCTGACTCAGGGTTACATGTAAGATTATTATCTTATGCCACCTAACTAGTGGGCTTATTATCCATTAGTATCAGGTCATCGGGGACCGATATTCATGCGAAATAACCCCCAATAGCAAAATGTTTCTTGGCTGGTGCCTGAGGCACTTGTCTTGTCAATACATAGTCTGGTATAAGTAACCGTAATAGCTAGGCTGCTTAGTTTTCCTTCTATTAATCAACCACTCTTTATTACTTTATTTTTTTTTACCACAACGACATAAAAAAAACAACCTAAGCAGGCTATTCAATTCACATCTCGGCAACTATTGGCCTGTTTGCTTTATATCTTAAGATGAAGCACCTTGGTTTACTGCTCATGATACCGGGCATCTTCGGCCAGGTTACAATTCCTGTTAGCGATGTTGAACCACAACTATTAGAGCCAGCTAGTGAGATCTCGGCTCTTGACTTCTTTAAACAAAATTGCCCGCAAGAAGTACCGCCTAAGAAGGAGTACTCCTTCTTCGACGACGACGATTCGCCGCCTCCTAAGCTCTATTTGCTATCCTCTTCTTACTCGCAGTCTACTGACGCTAATAAGTCCAACGAGCAAGTCCTTGGAAACATGTACCCTTCCTCTAGCAGTTTTGTCCACGGCGCTATGCAAGCCTGGGCGCGTCATCAAAACCTGGTCCTTCGTCCTGATATAGTCTGGTTCGAAATCCTAGCTCAACTAAACTTTTACATGAATCGCCATGCCAACGACCCAGAAATTCGCAAGCTATTTGTTAACTTTGACGGCAAGAAGCAAATTACTATAGATGCAGACGGCGTTGAAACAGATGATATGCCTACTACATTTGTAGCCGGAATGCAACAATTAATCAACCCGAATGTGATATGGCTACAAGACTGGATTACACCGGGATTTACAACTAGTACGCGAAACGACAATATAACAGCTGCTATATTAACAATGGGAATTATGCAGCACTACTTTGAGTATCTGGATGGAATTACATGCGGGATACCGTCTGTTACCCTACTTGGAACTCGAAGCGACTGGAATAAACTCTATAAAAAATTGGATCATTTGGCAGACTTTGGAACTGAGCCAGCGCAATTTGCCTCTAATTTAAAGCCTATTATTAAAAAGTTTATACAGACCTGGGACGAGTCAGATAGCCCAGAGGTAAAGGCATTCTGGAATCAAATTGTCACAAAAACCCAGGACGGAGGAGGCTGCGATGGTAGCGGTGCAATTGTTTCTGGCTGGATTACAGGGTTTATCCATTGGACATCGGAAGGCGCGCTTTACAGCCCCGACTCCTTAGGCTTGCCAGACGTGGATCCTAACAAAGTTGTGCGACTTGATGGTATAGAATACAATCAAGTACCGTTGAGCTTGATCCCAGTTTCATACGCCACAGCACCTATCCAATCTGACTTCCGTTTTCCGTTTGGACAGGATTCTACACAATTATTTGCGCTGGCAGGAAATATCGGAATTAAGAGGACTATATCAAGCCCCATAGTAGAGGGTGGTAATCCGCAAGTATTGGCAGAACCACTGAGTTCATGGTTCATCTATAGAAGAACTGAACTTGGCTCGAGGGACGAGGCTTTGCCCAATCCTGGTCTTGATGGCTTTGACGATCTTACAGGGGTTGGGCAGTGCTCTTATAATCAAACAATTTAAGGGTTGCTTGTCTGGGTTTGGTGGCAAAACTGTAGTTGGCTATTTAAAATAGTATCTTGTAACGTACTTTCTACTACCCAGACAAGTAAGGCTGCGGAAGCTGAGATGATTGAGGAAGATGTCAAGTACTATTTTAGCTACTACCTCAGATTAACACGTAGGCACTTACAATGTTGCCCTGTGGCACAGCTAGTTAAATTCCAACACGTATAGACCAACCTGTTCACCAGCAAACACTGAGTAGCTTGGAGCACGACAAGTAGACGATTGGAAAACTTTGAGAATTTGGCAGATCTTGACAGTCTGGCAATAGCTATGATTTATGTTTCAACATCGTCTGGCGAGCACGTAAATACTCGATAAAGTATATGCTCCCAGGAAAAATCCCCAATCTTGGGCTCACCCGCGTCAGAACCAACATCTAGGTAGATGCGAACCGAAATACCATCCCCCGACTCCCTTTTAGAAACAACATTCGATAGAGCTTCCCAAGCGCGCTCCGTGCACGTGCTGGCGACATTTGCAGGCATTTACTTTGACGTCGTCTTTTGCTTATGCCCACCGGGGGAGGGCTTCGCTTTCCGCACGCCAGCGGGCTTGCTCTGGCCGTCGACCGTCTTGGGCGCGTGAAGGGGGTCGACGGGCGACCGGTCGGCGCTGACGTCCTCCTCCGACTCTGTGGGCTGCGGTTTGTGGCTCTGCGAAGACGACGCCGCCGCGGCTGCCTTCTTCTTGGGCATGCCCGGCGATGCGCTCATCGAGAAGGGCCGCGTCGCCGCGAGCGGCACCAGTCGTGTGCATGCGGCGGCGGCGCGCAGCGGGATTTGAGCCGTGGCAAGTTTCGTGGACGACATTTTTGTTGCGTTGTGCAAGATGGCATCTGTCTGCACGTCAAGGGAAGAGCCAAGTTCGTTTGAGAGAAGCCGATGAGGGGTTCAGGCATCTATCTCCATGGCATGATGCCGATGCTGCCGTGGCAAAAGGCGGGAGCGCTATGCCCGATCCGGGTCGCGCCAGACAAAGTATAATCCAAATACCAGAGCAACCAATTCGCTGAGGTGGAGGGACTTTTTCTATGCTCTTTACTTGCCGGAGCATCGCCAAGGTGACAAATCTCTGCCGTGGCCTAATCCGATAATACACCGTGGCTTTGTATTGGAAAGTCGCAATTTGTATGCAATCCCCTTGTGATGACGCACAACATGATCCGGTTACGGCTTCGGATGGAGTGGTGGGGATGCTGGGGAAGCGCCGCAGAAAGCGGAGTTGGTCCCCGGCTCCCCGGTGTCGGCACGAGGCCAGTATCGGCATAACCACCATCTCGAGTGCTTGTTACAAAGGTCAATTCCTTCGAAATCATCACTCATTTACCTACTTTCATCCCATCGCAATGGCGGCGTCTTCCGATTCAATCGTAATTGTGGGGTGAGCCCGAGATCCAGTTCTCTTGCCGCGTGTGATGCTCCATCAGATAGATGCTCATGTTTTCCCAGCGCGGGCATTATTGGACTCGATGTCGCCCTGGTCCTTGGCAAGCGCGGGTTAGGCCAATGCATCACCATTGTTGCCGAACACCTCCCGGGCGATACTTCGCCATCCTACACCTCGCCGTGGTATGATGCTCTGTCCTTGCCAAACCAACATCAGTCCCGACTCCTGACCTGTCCCGCTCCAGGGCCGGCTGTAACTTCTCCGGTATATCGGGGAGCGACGCCAACGCGCTGCGATGGGACAAACTGGGCTACGCTCATCTCACCGGCCTCGCCGCTCACCATCCCACCGAGTCGTTTGTGTCCTGCACCCAATCCATAGAGTACTGGGACGCCAACGCACCCCGGGACAAGATCAAATCCATCTCGGAATATATCAAGGACGTAGGCTTCTCCTCCCCCATTCAACAGGCAAAACACAGTCGCTCATCTCGCGCAAGTTCACCATCATCCCCCAACAAGAACTACCCCCCGGCGTCGAATACGGCGTGTCCTGCACATCCGTCACCGTCAACGCGCCCAAACACCTCACATACCTCTACAACCTGCTCAAAGACCACTACGGCGTCCGCTTCCTCCGCCAGAAGCTGCCCAGCATCCAGGCAGCCTACGCCAGCCCCCGGACCCAAATCGTATTCAACTGCACCGGCAACGCGGCCAGGACGCTGCCCGGCGTACAAGACGCCAAGTGCTTCCCGACCCGCGGCCAGGTCGTTCTCGCACGAGCCCCCACGATGCGCAAGAATGTGATGCGCCACGGCCGGGACTACGAGACGTACATTATCCCGCGGCCGCAGTCCAACGGCAACGTCATCCTGGGCGGCTTCATGCAAAAGGGCAACAAGTAAGTCGGCTTCACAATCTTGACGTGCACGCGCCAAGTGTCTGATTCTCTTCACCACCCGCAGCGACCCGTCTACATATGGCCACGAAACAGACTCGATTCTAAGCCGCACAAAGGGTCTCTGTCCGCGGGAGCTGCGCGACGGACCGTGCGAGGTGCTGGCTGTGTTTGCGGGCGCCCGGCCCTCACGCGAGGGCGGAGCGAGGATCGAGCGCGAGAGCATCTTTGTTGGCGGATCTGAACGCCTCCTGGTGCACAACTATGGCGCTGGCGGGACTGGGTTCCAGGCTGGCTATGGCATGGCGCTTGATGCCGTTGCCTGCGTCGACAACGCGCTGCGGGAGCTGGGGCAGCTGGTGAACGGGGCCAAATTGTAACTTGGGCGCTGGTGATGGTGTTGCTGCGCAGTTGCAAACGCGCGATGTCCTTCTGGGGGCATGTATCTGGAAGGACGAGTCAATAGATGACGAGTGGCGAGGAAGGGACATGGCCGGATATTTTGTTCATTAGTACAGCAGCAGTGATGGGCCTGGTATACACTTTACGCTTCCCGCGTCCAACAGAGCTTTGTGCCTGCGAATTTTGTGTAATGGGCGGCCGGCTTATCCCGGCCGGTGAAGCAACTTGTTAGTTACGGTGGCCTCTATTGTCGCAAAGAATAGAATAAATGGCGTGCTATTGTATGAGAATAGTCAGTGTGTGTCTCGTCTAATCCCCCCCAAGCGCGCAGAGTTGAGTCGATAATGCAAGTTTCAGTTGCTCTCGGTGCTTCTCTTTATATTCGAATATTTGACACAAATCCACCGCACCATCCATCTCAGCCTTTCGTGGTGGAGGATGATCTTGGAACCTACAGAGCGTGGCGTTGGGTGAAACACATTGCTAACTCAACTTGTTACTATCTGTTAAAGTTTAGTGATTGACTCATGTCGCCACACGGTAGTCTCTGTTTTAGGTCAGCTGGTTTCAGGTTTTAGGTTTCAAGGGATAGCCGAAATGTTATGGGGGATAAATAAACCAAGAGAAACGGCATTAACCGGGAATGATCTGAAGAGTATCATATATATTACAGTGCGGCCCTTGATACATAACCTAGCCACTACTATAGTAGATATTCAAAAGTCTGCGAGCACCCTTATTATAGGCCTATAAAGTTAGGTTTTTTAAAAACTTATATTAAAATAATTAAAATTAATAAAAATATAAAATTTAATTTTAATAATATATTTTTATTTAAAAAATATATATTATATTTTATTATATTTTTAAGATTTCTTTTACCTTAGTTATAATGCTTTAAAAATATAGTAAAATATTTACTGTGCGAATAACACCACAGACGTAATACTGTGTGCTATTCGCACTGGATGGTGTGCTCGCAGACTTTTGAACACCTACTGTAGTTCAAGTTGCTGCTAGCACGAGACTGCCTTGGTTGGCATAACTGTAGACCCCGGGCATGTTTTTCCAGAGTTTGCATCAGACGCCCAAGTAGTTCCTGGATGCCTAATGAGGGCAGACGGGGATCCTTATCTACTCTGACCCTGGACATTTGTGATTCGCATTGATCCGCATCATCTTGGCGCGTATCGGTTTGCGTGCTGTAGCGCCTCAACTTCAACCCAGGAAACGGGGACGGTCGTCTCTTTGGCGATATCTTTCTCCACTTCCACATGGCCGAAATGATGTCATCTGCCAGTTGATATGTTCCTCAAGATTCCAAGATGGCTTCGGAGGGAATCATTGACTTGTGGAGCCCCGTGACAGCAAAATCACGGCCGTATCCGCCCTGAGGCCGATATTACGACTAGTGATAGATGAGTGATAGATGACGGAAGCCATGATAAATACACGAGAGTTGAATCTGTCATAAAAAGACGTCCCAAGATATTGCAGCAAAATCAATGTGGTCTCTCTTAAAATTTTAAAGGCTCCCCAACCATGTGGTGTGAAATCAACATGAGAAGGATAGTCACGTTTCAGGTCTTCTCCGCCATTGTTCGTAATAGACTGCTCGCTCTGCATTTGGTTTATATCCTCGTCTTGTGTTATACATGCTCGCCTAGCATTTATTGGTATCATATTTGCATCATATTGCCACGAGTCGTGTACGCATACTTGTCCGCTGTTTATGCTTACTGGACTGGGGGATTGAAGCCGGAAAGACTCTGCCGGTGTTTCACCTCTGATATTCTAGAAACCGACTTTTCATCTTTGAGCCTGTCCCACGCATGTTTCACAAGGGCTACACATCAGCCGACTTCTTGTATACATAGAGCTCTCTAGGTCAACCTGACTGCTTCGTTATGCAACTTTCCAACCATACGTCACATCCACATGACTGTCGACATCCTATAGCAGAAATCATGAGGATTCATGTGCTTTTAGTAGCTGGAACAGCCCATGCCGCCTTTCGACAACGCTGGAGCATGCAAAAGGTTATAAATGCCCCGTCCAGCGTCGTCGCAGCAGATTCACGACAAGCTAGCCAGGATCCATGTGCAATGATTAGCAAAGCTTTCGAGGCAGCTGCGAGGAACAAGACGTCCGATGGGCCTATAATTCTTGACTTGAGGCCATCTGTAGGAACTGCATGTCGCAAATCACTCCCGGTGATGCAAAAGGCCAACCTCGAGCTTCTGGACTACCTCCGGCCATACGTCGAG